AACAAAAAGTTACAGGAACGGTAAGGTATTTATTCAGATTTCTGATGCAATGTGTGTTTCTACACTGAAAAGCCATATATTTCTTGCCTCCTCCAGTCCTTAGGGACTCTTTGTTTCTCAGCAGACAGCCTAGACACCTTCTTCCCAGACTTTCAACCTGTCAGCATCTCTTTAACTGATTTCTGGAAGGTGGCTTGGGTTGTTCTGGAAAGGGAAGGAGAAAGTCCCAGGGTGAACATAAAAGAAACTAGCCCACAACAACATAGTCAAAATGTCACTCTGACCAGATTCCACTGTGATCATGCAGAACTCAGCTGAAAAAACTCTATTTTCCCCAGGAAAGCTGCTTGACTCTATATAATGTTGTTGAGAAGTGCATTGTAGAAAACATGGGACTCCTGAAATAGACTCAGCATGCTGTAAAATGGTTACGCTTCTTCCTTGTGTCATCTTTCCTTAGCTAAGTTTTTTAATATTCTTCTTTTTCTAGCTTAGACATGCTCCTGCCTAAAGTGATGAGCATGCACCAGCACTCTGAGAACATGAATGACCCTTTGCGTTCGTCTGCTGTGCTGGAGAAGTATGAGAGGTTCATGCTACAGGGCTGGGGAAAACTCAAGACCTCCCAAGGCTCCTATGTGTCATACGAAGATGGAAGCAAGTTAATTAAGGTTTGTTCGTGTCCATTTTCTCAATCTGACTCTTATCAGATCAATATGGTGTCACCAGTATAGCAGGCTTTCAGTGCTGGCATTTCTGTATCTGACAGGCTTGGGGACTGAGTTTGGGTCTCTGATTTTCCAGTCCAGAAGGGCCTGCATAATGCTGTAGGGAGCAAACTGACAGTGACCTGCTTCCTCCTGCCTTTTAGAAGGGCAAATCCCAGTCCTACATCTCACTCATGTTAGGCACAAGTGGGAAAACATAGTCCAGCTTCCTTGTGGTAAATGCTTTAAGTACTAGACAGGAGATGTAGTTCTGGTGTCCAACTCATGGCTTTGTTGCCTGGTGGATCTGAAGGAAAATAGCAAAAGGCTACACCTTCAAGACAAGACGAAGGTGAGGCTGTTATTAGCATTGGCTATGATGATAAAGCCCCATAGATGCTGAAGAATGGGCTCCAACATGCAAACATCTTGATGAAACAGTCTATTTCCCAGGTACTGAAGATAT